ATCGTATCATCTCAGTGACCTCTTCACTTTCAGTGTTTGATATTTCGCCCACACTCAGAGAAATACGGCACCAGATGGTATCATACATGTAGAACAAAACCGGGGAAAATGTTTTTAATGACAGTAATTTTTAGTAGATCACGTCAGGTGAATTACCTTAAATTTGGATTTTCATTATATACAATAATATGCCCATAACTGTCAAAATCACGTTTAAACTTTTTTAACAATATGTCAATCCACATATTTAAATGAGTTCTATTTTATATACAAACAATATATCATTCTTCGGAAACTTTGTCTTCAATCCTTAAATAATAAAATGATTGCCTTAGTTTTCTTTTTACGCCATGAATCAATCCATATAAGTAGTATAAAGTAGCATAATGTTTACTCTTCCTAGACAACCATTAGAATAATACAGCATATTTTCCAGTGATTCAATCTCTTTTTTATTTTTTAATTATCATCAAATATTTAATAGCGTGTTATTACAAAATGAAATCCAACGCAAAATGAATGTCCTTCCCAGATTAAACGTAAAATTCAACACACGAAGTATAGATGTTAATGAAATGTATCAAAGTAATGGAAAATATTTGCCATGATTGTTTCGTAAAGTTGCAAAATAAGCCAAAACAACATAAAACAAACATAATATAAAACCCAAATTTATCTGCTATTTTACACCTTTGTTTGATGTACTCTCAAAAGTTGATACATTAAAGTTGTTAATTTGTTGTTAATTTAATTGGCTGAATTCAGAAAAGGAAAAGGAAACATAAGATATTTATTGTTCAAGGATTTTACATTGCAAATGCTTACTGTAATAAATTATAGAAATAAAGTGCAGTGAAAATCAAGTGGTAAATCGCAGACTTAACTCATTCAAAAGAAATTTCATATCATAAACAGTGACTAAATTGCAAGTGTTTTCAGACATATGATCTGTATAAAATTGTTTCGTTAAATCATTTTCATTATTTGGTATATTCATACTGTACCATTCACTTTTATAAGCATAATGTCACTTTAAAAATAGTAGAAACATTATTTGGACAATATGGTTTTCAGTATCTTGTTCTAATTTATCACAAACAGCATAAAAATATAACAGATTAATAAAATCATTACGTAATTGCCAGCCGGAAAGAATGCAGACACATAACTTGACTCAGGCATTAGTAATTCTGAATTAACGATCATTTCTCATAATGGACGACACAATAAAAATACCCTATCATACATTTTTCAGTGACACAAAGCGTTTTTTGAGACAACGCACGTGATCATCAAATCGTTCGATTCTAGCTTTTTGTCGTAAAATACATAATAAGACACAGTAATATAAAAGTTATGTCTTAATCTAAACGTCAATTTCAATTATATTTGAAATTTGCACACAAGAAGTGGTGGGCGACTAGACAAAGTTTTAAATGACTGTTTACGTTCATATATCTTAACTGTCAATCAAAGAAACTTTATTGTCTACTTATTAACATCAAACCATGATTTCATTCTATTTATAAAGATAAAAATGTCAGTTCAGCGAAATGAGAAACACAATTTACTCACAAATCACAAAATATAATTTTAGGTGGAATACTTTGTGTTTTATATGAATGTATTTTTTCATTTTGTTTTAACATCAAAATGATTATTATTGTCATTTGATCACTCTAACCCAAAGTTTTTACATCTATTGAATAAATATTAATGTTTGATAATATTGTTGCGAGAGGAATTATTTCAATTTTAATGACATACACAACTATGATTTACGCCATGTCGTATTTTCGCTTCTTCGCCTCAAAATGCGAAAAAGCGAAAACTTAAAAATAATTCAAAATATTTTATTTTTTTATATTGTAATGCTCATTATAAGTATTATGACATTCTACCAATGTCGTTACAATATCAGCATTGCAGGCCAATCTGACGTACCATGTTTACAAACTAAAGTCTTACCTGATATGTAGTGCTATTCAAACTATATACATGTAGATTCATATAGTTTTGCTTAATGGAAGGTGTGTCTTTTTATAAGTGCAGATGCTGCTGTTGCTAGTCACATTTTTCTTCATGATTCGAAATAGAAAGTATGGCTATGTAACTGGTTTACGTCTCGGATATATTTATTACAGATTCTTTCATTTTTATACCTTTTCTAAAATGTCACAGACTAATTAGTTTATTCCGCCTAGTTTACAACAGTCCAATAAGGTTATACCATTAAATATATGCTAATGTAATATCGTGTAACTGCTTTAACTGCCAGAGAACCAATAACTCTTTTTGGGGTGCCTTTTTGTTATTAGGTGTACAAGCTTTCCTTGGAAAAGGTCATGGTAACTTTGAGCTTTGACCTAATGACCTCGAAATCAATAGAGGTCATCTACAAGTCATTTACACCTACGCTAAATCTTTGAACTTTTCGCCAAAGAGTTCTCGGGTAAGTGGCGGTGGTGTTAGCAGTTTTCTCTCCGGATAAGGCCGCTATTCCATTAGTACGTGATCCGTGACCCGCGTCAGTGATACGTGTCCGGGCATGTCCGTGGGTATTATTCCATAGGTACGTTATTTTCTATATACTTTTAATTGAAGTATAGCGAACAGAGGATAATTATTTGTAGAATTTGATATAATTTCGTTCTAATACCAAAAACAGTTGTAACATCAAAGAATTATGTAACAAAAATTGAATATCAGTTAGGTTTTCAAATAACATCTCTTGAGCAACCGAAGACCAGATGTTGTTATTTTTAATCTGTCATTACTGCATCATAAACTTATAGGGTCTCCTACACTATTTTGGTGAGCTCTTTAGCATTTTCTTTCGAAATTGATAAAGTATTTAATTTCGTTCGAGGCATTTTGTAGGGATGAGACATGTCAGTGACTGTCCGCGTCCGTAAAAAATCGCTCATCCTGCGAAACGTCGCGGATGCCGTCGCGGAAGCGGATGGTAAACGGACAAAAGGAATAGATTCAACGTATTCTTTGATTAGCGAATCGGTAGCGGACGCGGATGACGGACGCGGACCACTGGCTACCTCTCTTCATTTGAATTTTTATATCACAGGTACCCTCTCATTTTTTACCACATAGGTACCCTCAAAGCACGACATATGCTTTTATTTGCGTACGTTAATCGTTAAGTATATAATATTTACATAAAATTAAAAAGTATTACATACACACTTAACGATTAGCGCAAATAAAAGCATATGTCGTGCTTTTAGGGTACATATGTGTTCAATAATGAGAGGTTACCTGTGATATAAAAATTCAAATGAAGAGAGGTAGCCCGTGCCGCTGCAAAACCGAAAGTAGGGTGTTTTTATGAATTTTACATTTATTTTTGACAATATACTGCCATTTGTCCGAAGATGATATGTATATGAACATATTAAATATGGGCGACGTCATGACAAAATGACCCTTCGGGCATTTTTCTTCGAATTTTTGGTTTCATAATTTTCATAGAAACCAATTATTACAGATGATTTTACTTTTTATTTGACGAAAATAACTTGAAAAATGTCAAAGATATATCTTTTTATGTACATAGACCAATGTGTTGCTCCGACGTCGACGACGACGTTTGTTTAAACGTTGAACGTTTTAAAGAACGTCGTGGTTTATTGCCGAATTGCCTTGTGTTAAGAATGGATTGTGTAAGAACCAATAAAGACAGTAACTCCAAGTGAATTTATTTTACAGTCCTATGAAGTTACAAACTTCAAAATCATGAATATAAAAAGCTAACGGAAGAAATCACATAAACGGATCAGCACTTATGTGCCCAGTATATTTGTTAATTTACGATTAACAAAATTTTATATCTTGAAATATATAGATCATTCTTATATCAAATAAATATCTAGTTTATTGATAACAAATCTATGGACTAAACATACAGACAAAGATAATGCATGTATACATTTGTACATGTAAATCTAAATTGTCATTCTTCCCGTAACGGTGGGCACGTCACATCACGGTACGCCTGACGTACAAAAGGTCGTACATTTTTGTACAGGTATTGCTGCCTTGCGCGGGAAAGTCCACCCGGTAGCAAAACTGCAGGGAGAATATCTTCTGGTACTGTAGCATTTCTCTTTAGGATTGTGACCTGCTGCTCTACGTCAGTTGAGCGCTCTTTCACGTATACAGCATCCTTCGTAATACGGAAATAGTGATACCGCTGTATACCCCTTAATGGTAAGAAGAAACGCGGCAAAAATGTCTTCCAGTCATACCTGTAACATATGTTGACTAGTTAATATTATGTCAATCATAAACTACTTGATATTTTACAATGACAAGCAATTATTAATACACGTACAAGTAATATGACAGCATTTATGCCGAGGCCGAATTGAGCTCTCTATTAATTTGTTTAGTTGTTTTATTGTACAAACTTATTTAAATGGGGTGTAAATTTTAGAAATTCAAATATTTGTAATAGAATACCAAGTCCAATTCTGACATCCATCCTCCTTGCGGAAGAGCACGGGGAAATTGCTTGAAGCAGACTTTCTCACGACAGATGCCACCTGCGAAATACTGTCGCAGTCCGTGCGCCTATACAGCTTCTTGATATGTCCAAATCCTCCGTCCACAAGACACCTAAAATCGAATAAAACTATATCAAAAACTGCTTATTTATAGTTTATGTTGATTTTTTTCTTTATTTCTATAGGAACAAAATAATTGCAAGTAGATTTGTTCTAGTATAATCGATTTGTTCGACAGTGTTTTAGTTTTAATCTAATGGCCAGATTGTCTCTATGGCATGTATAAAACATGCCCGCTGGTGTGCAAGCACATACATGTTTAAACACAAAAAAAATAGCAAATGCTCGTTTTGTGCAGACCAGAAGTAATGTAGAGGACTGTCATAAACTAAAATACATAAGTTCGCATTATACGAGTATAAAATATAACATATATTAAAAACATTAATTACTTTGTGTGACCAGGGATTATTTATTTATTTATTTATTTATTCTTAACATACCAATCGATTCATCCTCGTCTATTAGGTAATTATGTTGTTGTGACACAGAATCAACACGGACGCCAAAAATTTGTATTTTCCTACCAGTCACAAAATACAAAGGGCCCATTTGTTGACTGTGGTGTGGTATTGTCACATTTTGAGAATAGTCAAATGTATAGTGCACTTTTTTCAAATCACTAGTGCATGGCTGGGCAGGTCGATTGACTGTGACTGATGTGTGCCTCATTTCCTCCCGAGCCTCTTCTATTGTCTGTCTGTAGACCTGTCGCTCTCTCTGTGCGTCCTACATAGTTTGGGTAAATAATAAGCAAACAAAATTAATAAAAAAATAAATAAAACAAATCACTCCAACTCTATAAAAATTAACTTTACTATAGAATATCTAAAAGGTTAATCTATAAACCTGCAATGCGAGTAAAAGTGTAAATATTATCTTAATACATGTTGAAATGTTGATAGCAAAATAATTCAAGTAATATGTCAATAATTTCAAATTTATGGCTCCATTACAAAAGTAAATAATTACCGCAAGAACTTTGCAAGGAAAAATCGGTCTTACTAATAAAAATCTGGAAAAAGAGTGGTCCTTGAAAGCATTAATAACAACAGAACGTGATGAATATTGCATACTTGGTTTGATTAAGTCAAGCGTAACTTGTGTTAAAATCTAGTCATAATATATGATGAGCGGATTTTAAATTTTAGTAAAACGTATCTGCAGACGAAAGTCAGTAACATGATATAACAAATATTACCTGTATATGTTCTCGTAGAGCGTTTGCTGCCTCTAGTTTCTCCACCTCATGTACAGCATCAGCAACCCTTTTCCTTATCATTTCGCACTTATGGCAAACGTCATCTTTTGCCGTCATTATCTTAATGTGTGGAACGCATTGCTTCCACACACATTTAAATGTAGTTACTCCAAGAACTCTTACGCCGGCTTCTATACATGCATGTTGGTATTTTGAATGTAAATCCACTTTTGTAGTATTACATGGTAACAGAACAGGTGCAGCCTCGTCTGCTCCGCGTGGTGCTGCTGGCATTGATAACCCGTTGATTTCTGCATATAATACCAGGAAATCAACACAGAAACGCACGTCCTCGTATTTAACTGCATGGTGTGGCTTTCTTCCGGTATTCCCATGTATTCGCGGCACCGGTCCATTTGAATTTAAATGTTGCAATAACGACTTAACTGTTCTCTGTCCAATATCATTGATGTGGCAGAACACAGATTTACACACTGTTTTGCCATCAAATGTATATCTATATCTTATTCTTTTCCTTTTACCTTTCCTGGTTTCCTGTGCACCTATTTTCAACAGACTTCCCATAATAAACATCTCCTTTTGGTCTTTTGCCATTTCCCTGAGCGATAATATGTGGCTTTGAATATGTTCAGCATCAAACTGCACCAAACAATTAATTTTACACTTACATTGTACATCATTATTGTCTGAATCTGATTCTGAACCACCCTCACCCCTCTCCTCATCTGATCCTTCCGGTATGTCCTCTGCAGCATTGTTGACAAACTCGACGACACGTCCTATGATTGACTCTGCCTGTTGGTCGTCATTATCGTTTCCCCACTCTTCATATAATTCGTCCTCTGTTACATGTGGCGCCTTCTCTACAGTCTCATTAACAATAACTACGCCAAATTCCTCATATAACTCATCTAATTCCTGCGTTTAAATAAAGTCAATAAATAAATTTTAATAATCTATAGATATTGTATGATCGATTCAGGTTATACCAGTTAAAATCTGGGACAAAAAAAAAATACAATATATTTTTCCCAGTTATAATAAAATCAGTTAAGATAGTAAATCAGGTAATATATTTTACCTATAAAAAACACTTTCTCAACAAAACATCTTTGGAACAGTTTTATATATATATATACCACAGAATATAAATATATATTTAATAAATAAAAAAAAAAAAGGTAACACGAGGTTTTGAACCTCGGACCGCTCGGTCGGTAGACTTTCACTCTACCAATTACACCACAGAGGCATATGTATATGTTGAGGGTTTATTATTTCTATAGTACAGTAAATCGATCGATATCATGGACGACTACTCTTGCACTGTAACTATGTTATGAAGGGAGACAATTCCTTTTGTATATACTGTTGCTAAGAAGTTTAACCACTGAAAACCAGGTTTATTCGATAAAATTCGTAGCTAAAACTTACACTTCAAATACTTTGTTCTATATATTACATGCAGGATGCAAACTGACAAGTCAAAAACATGATTTCACCATAGATAAACTCATTTTTTTTTAACTGAAGCGCTCTAATCATCTGTCAAATTTGACAGCAGACGCAACTTCCTAAAAAATAAAAATTCTAGTTTTGCACATTAAAACTTTGTATTTCTTTTTAAAAAAAGACATAAAAAGATACAAAAATACCTGAAAATCATTCTTCTCTGACATTGTGTCTAAATTTCGTCTACAAATGGTGAAAATTCATGATCTAGCGACAACAAGGTGCTTGAAAGGCCGACATAAACTGCGAACAATTTCGCGGACTTTTAACCGGTGTTTGAAAAACTTGTCCGAAGGTACAAAATGTCATGACGGCGCCCATATGTATAAAGCATATATAATCAAGCCACAGGTTCATTTCAGCCCGAAAAATATGTCGAGGTGATTGGCGAAGCAAGATATGTCGATTTTTTGTAGCTTATTGTGAAGTTGCAGTACATGAAAATCGGGCACATGACAAATCAGTACATAAATAAAACATCCTAGTGTTCCGTGGTATACATCTTTTCTACGTGACATACCTCCTTTCCTTATTACAGTGAAATTTTACTGGATTGGTATCCATCGCTGGTTTGTTTTTAGCAGAGAATGACCTGTGCATGTTCAGAGAGGGTACCGTTTCAGCAGATTTCGCAAAGAGGGTACCGATATGGATATGCACCGTGTATTTTACATATTCTTCTATGTTTGGACATTGTTTTACAAGCATAATTATACATATGTATATAATTTCACTCAAGTGTGGTATTTTACCTCAAACATACAGGATCTTTAGGTTGATTTTTACCAGTAATATGTCGGGGTTAGCGCAAAAATAGATATTACAGTAAATGTATGTTACATAGTAATAACAAAAAAGACGTGTAACATAGATTGTATTTGATATATAAGCAGATTATGAAATTCTTAAAAAGACATATTGTCCATGTTAAACTGTATACTGTCACTTATAACATATTGTGACATTAATCATATAACATAATGTACACAACAAAACAACAAAATTAAACATACATAATTTGAAAAAGGTTAGGTATCTAATACCTTATATCAATTATCTAAGAAATGGATCAGTGATGTCAAAGTTTAAGGCTCTTTGTACCATTATAAAGTTCATTTTTTAATCTAATATCCAGAAAAAATGTCTTGTTGCGCAAAGAAGACGTTTTATTGCAATATATTTAAACTATACTAACTTAAAACAGTGTTTAGTTTATGGGTTTCCGTCAAAAGCAATGTTGTAGATTGTTATAGTATGGTGGTTATGTCAAACAGGTGTCCTATAAACCGAAGCTGGAAATACCTAAACAAGAGGTTAGGGTTTACTGGTTAAATGTTTCCATCAAAATTTTTAAGAACCATATATTTGCATTTCAATCAATAGAAGTTATATTTTATATTATACATAACGAAACACAAGGATAACCATTTCGAAAAAACGATACTGATATCGCAAGACAATAAATAGCATTCCAATTTACAAAGTATTTCTGATTTATTATTGTCCCTTGAATTTTCTGGATTGAGTTCAATTACGATTTGGGATTTGTAACCTTATTACAGGCCATAACATCATGCTCGATCTATGTAAAATATTCTCAGATTGTGCGAAAGGTAAGTGATTGTTTGCTATTATTTACTTCATTGTTAACTTCGAAAACGGCATATTTATTTATGTATCTAAATGTGTAAAGCGATGTTAAAGGATCAATATTTCAGGATCCTGTTCAGTTGACAAAATATTTGACACACAATTTCTTTACAAAAAGTGTGGGTTAGATATATTGAACTTACAACTGATTAATACTTACCTTATTGTGTGGAAACTATTTGAGATGAAGTGAAGAAGGAATTACAGTATTCAAATTTTAGCATAAATATCATTATTTGTGTGTTTTACATAACACAATCCTTTATATGAGCCAAAGCAATATTTTTCCAACTGCGTTCTATAGTGTCTAGAAAAGCTCTGTAGGAGACTTGATGGTGTATTATCGACTCTATCCTACAAATGTCATAATATTATATATGCACGTAATGACTATATTATGAACGTACAGAACATTAGCTTTTTCTAACTCTTTGCTGTCATTTTCATTTCCGTCATTTTCATTTTCGTTTTTTTTATTTTAGTCTATTATTTTCATTTCCGTCTTTTTTTATTTTCGTCTTTTTTATTTTTGTCTTTATTTCCATTTTTGTCTTCTATTTTCATATCATAATAAAACCATCGATTAGATAGTTTTCAATAAACACAATATCTGCAGTAATTGTTGGCTAAAAATTGTGCAAATTTACATCAAACTACGTCTTCAATATTTCCTTTGCACTTAGATTTTTTTGCATTTCAGTCAACACTCATTGAAGGTCTGAACTGTAAATCATGTGCACATTTGCTTCAACACTTGGAATACCGTAAAACACAATGAGTTTGCACAAAACACATATGTTCAGACAAATATTTAAAGGGAAACTTGAAATGTAATAGCTAATTGGAAAGCTGTTTAACCTTATTAGATTTCCTCTGGTTGACAACGCAATCTCATTAAGTGTATTTACGGTACGAAAACGTTGTACATCAACGTATGACAGAAAGTAGTAGTTCACATCTTACCAAGAAAAAAGCATTACAAGGGAGAAATATTGTAAACGAGTTTAAACAATTACAAGAAGACAGGGAATTAGAATAAATATGTGAATGTCAAATACGTTATATTCATGTCCAGTTGCAAAACTTGCACGAAGTAATAGAAAGTGCACCGAAACACGAGCTATCTGATTTGTACGAGGGGGCGTAGCCCCCGAGTATAAATCAGATTGCCGAGTGTTTTGGTGTTCTTTCTCTTTTGTATCATAAAAACACGTTCCCTGTTGTCACAATTTTAAACCCCGGGAAAAAGTTACCAATGAGCGAGCATCTGACTATGATATTTCTGCCGCCTTCCCTTTCTCTGCCGTCACAATATGTAAACCCCAGCAAAAATGAGCCAATCAACGGGCATGATGTGGAGTGCGGGTAACTGAATCCTGCACTCCAGTTACCGCATTTAACTCTGACACTTATTCAACAGAAAGGTCCCCAAACTATGATACAATGCTTAGATAAACACCAATCATTAGCGTTGTCCAAACAGGATTGCAGTATCTCTTAAAAATGTATCACATTTATATATACCAGTCATGTCAAGTAAAATAAAATGAAATTTGAAAAATTAATGCTAGTTCACAAATTTTAAAATGAGTACATTGCTAATTCAACTTAAAAGTATTAGATGTATTGACAATAAATTAGCCGCGTCACGACAAAACCAACATAGTGCGTTTGCGACTAGCATGGATCCAGACCAACCTGCCCATCCGCGCAGTCTGATCAGGATCCATGCTGTTCGCTATCAGTTTCTCTACTTGTAATAGGGTTGAGTTGGTAAGCGAACAGCATGGATCCTGATCAGACTGCGCGGATGCGCAGGCTGGTCTGAATCCATGCTGGTTGCAAACCCATTGTTGGTTTTGTCATGGAACTGCTCATTTATAAGCAATTTAGATTATTTCTACATTCGACACAAGATTGTACGGACTTTGATTCATATCAAGTTTTGATGCTTTTACAATAACATTATAGGATTATACTAAATAAATGCATGTTAATGACAATTATTCTTGCAATTAACCTAAATTTGCGCATTTAGAACTTTGCAACAAATATACGTTGTTATTACCCTTCCAGATTTTTTCCGCCTTTTTGATTGGGTATTGATCACCCGAAAGAAATTGATATTACCGAGCCAGACGGGTAATATACACACTAAATTTCCCCGTAAATGTAAATAACAGGCGCTGTGGCAATGCGCGTACGGTTTGATTTAACGCGATGTAAATTCCGATTACAAGCACTTTTTAACTGTCAAATGATAAACATTTACAAAAAATAGAGTAATGATACATATTCTCATCAGTATTGAAAAAAAATATGACCTTGTGAAAGCTTGATATTTATTTTAAAAAAAGTGCATTCAACAGACTACTCCTTTTCTCTTGTTTACATTCGTTAGGTCCGAAAGAATATACGTCATGTATTTATGTGACGTCATGTTGTGGTGAAGGGGTACCCTTAATGGAATCTTATTTCGACGTTTAATTAATGATTTATTTTAAAATCGTCTTAATTCGACAGGGGAAGGGTAATAAAATTATTATTTTGGTTTTGGAGTGATGTGATATATGTGGATATAATACCTGCCAAGATAAAATCTTGACAGGTAATATATAGAGGATATTTGTTTGTTTGTGTGTAAGATGAAATTTTATTTCATCGAGTGGGCTTTAAAAACAGTATTCTCACGAGTGGCGTAGCCACGAGTGAGAATACTGTTTTTAAAGTTCACGAGATGAAATAAAATTACATCTTACACAACAAACAGACAAATTTTCTTTTTATTTTATGCTTAAAAACAAGTTAAAATGAAATTTCCATAATTTTAACGTTAATATTAAAATCTGTTTCCCCCATTGAGAGCCCCATTTTAGACGGAATTTCTCATTAAAAACAAGAAGTCTTGAGCTGAAAAATAAGTCCGCCAATCAAGGTTAAATGACGGTGATATCTATTCATTTTATTAAAAAATATGAATGATCGCTTGTTTTAATAATAAAAACAAACAATTCTTGTAGGAGAAAAAGTCCAACCATCCATCCATATTTCTGTTACTTACTGCGAATTTATATTAGACCTGGCTTTGTAAAATGTAAGCGGCAGCCATTTTTTAAAGTTGTGTATTTCATGGGAGGAAAATAATTGTGTAAGATTCAGAGGGATATAATTTGGATTTGTTAGTCATACACCTTTTTAAAAGAAAGAAAACTTATTTGAGGATTGTAACAGACAAAAAATAAGTGTTGACAGAAGTGAAAACATTCAGAAAGGGAGCAAGGAAAATGGAAAACTTGGAAGCTTGCTAAGGAACGCTTGGTTGTTTTACTTATTCTACGAGTGATGGCTGTCAATGCTTTTCAATTTTTCATAAAGCATACGGCAGTTATTGTTCGTAGGATACTTTAATATGCCCAAATGTCATCAAGAGCCGTTTTGCATGGGGAAGGAATGTATTTTTCAGACTGCAAAAACGAAACAAAAAAAATTAGAGACGAAATTTGGTGATTGGAATTTG